TACGAAATTGTTCAGTACCGCATTCCCAAAAAATATATTTGCATTGATTTGACTTGATAAGCTATTAGCTGTACGCATAAGTGATATTCGCTGAGATCAGATGTATTTTATGAAGCTTTCAAGGGTTAGTGCAAAGCCGTCGAAAACTTGATAGTCCGAACAGGATTAAGCTAACCATTGGCTTAACTTTAGGCTAAAAGTTGACTTAGGCTGATGCTTGATCCCAGTGCTATGCTCACACTTCCACTCCCACTCTTCTCTATCCAACAATGTTCCAACTCTTCAGGGGACCTTCTTTCAAGTAGAATTAGCAAAATCAAATCCACATAATGCAGAATGAACGTTCAAAAAAAGGATCACAGAATCAAACAACTACCCAAACACCTACCGGCTGATGCTAGCAGCAATGCCAAAGTCGGTGCAGAAGCCCCCAAACGAACTGCCGAAATTTTCGGCGATCAATGACTAGCAGATCGGGATCCTTCGAAAATTTCGGCTACATGTCGAAATGCATTCGGTTGGCAGCCTGCCAATTGCCGAAACTAATTTTTTTGTGGGCATATGATCTCGGTACCTTGTGTGGGCATATGACATCTTACCGCTGTCGTTTCGACAACAGGACGAATCATCGCGACCACTTTTTTGGATATTGAATGTGTGGGGAAGGATTTCATAGAGAACGTTACAATCATATACAGTAAATGATTGTAACGCTTCCTGATGAAAACACTAGTGAAAATCTATCTCCAGTTCGAACTTATTCAAAAAAGAAAATGCTGCTTCATTATACGGAGTAATATTAGAGTAAGCTTCAGTGTAGGCCTGGGATAAGCCTCAGACTAGCCCGAAGTAAGCCTTAATTTAAACCGGAGCCTCAATCAAAATCCGGAGTGAACCTCAGCCCAAGCCCCGGATTAGATCCAGCCTAAGCTGAGGGCAAACTTCAACCTGAGTTTGAGATAAGAATCAACCTCAGACTAAGCTTAGGACTGGAGTGAAGCTCAGCCTGAACTATAGTATTTGGAATAAACGAACTTTTTTGACATTATTATCACCACTAGTGACGTCTCCATTCCAGTTGAAATTCCAAGGAATAGAATAGAATGGTTCTCAAACAAGGAACGCACAGGATAGAACAGAACAGAACCGTTGAAGAGAGGAATGGAGTAGAATAGAACAGATTTTGGCTCTTCTTTAAACTGTTCTCTGTGATGACTGCAGTGATTATGAGATAATTGTTGTACCATTGTTGTATTATTGCTATTATTATTTACTATTATTGCTATTATTATTGATATTATAATATTATTGTTATTATTATTATCATTATTTATTAATACTGTTATTATTTATCAACATTATCATAATTATTATTAATAATCATTATTATTATTATTATTATTAATCATTTTTTGTTATTACTATAGCTGTTGTTGTTATTATTCAATATCATTGAGTCAATGTAAGGTGAAAGCTAGAATAGTCTTTGAGTTACACT